ATGATTTAGTCTACAGCAGCGGTTCTCAACCTGTGGGTCGCGACCCCTTTGGGGGTTGAACGACCCTTTCACAGGGGTCGCCTAAGACCATCGGAAAACACATATATAATTACATATTGTTTTTGTGATTAGTCACTATGCTTTAATGATGTTCAATTTGTAACAATGAAAATACATCCTGCATATCAGATATTTACATTACGATTCATAACAGTAGCAAAATTACAGTTATGAAGTAGCAACGAAAATAATTTTATGGTTGGGGGTCACCACAACATGAGGAACTGTATTAAAGGGTCGCAGCATTAGGAAGGTTGAGAACCACTGTTCTACAGTTTTGTGCTTTGGTCCTCTCAACAAGAGAGAATAAGGCTTATCATTGCATTTCTAAAATGGCCTTTTGCATTTTCTTGGACAGGCATGAGGTTCCCAGTATTTGGAAACCGTTGCTTTGTATTCACAGGGTAGAGTTTACTTTGGTTTTAATAGACGTACATGGACAAGTCAATATAGACAGATTTATAATTCTGTACAGTCAGTCCGACATACACAGGGATGCTATAAACAGGGGCACAAGCCGGAGAGCGGGTGTGCAAAGTGGGCCTGGCGAGAGGCCGTGGCCATGCCGGGAGCTCCCTGGCTCGGCTCAACTCTTTTTGCACCGCAGCTCTGCGCTGGGACCAGAGGGCCACCTCCTAGCCCGGAGCGGAGCAGAGGACCTGGGCCTGCGGGGAAGCTGGGGTGCTCAGAGACGAGCCCACCCCATTCTCTCGCTGCATCTGCGGCTCTGTAGCCTTTAAATAATTTTCCCAGGCTCCGGGCCGGCGAGTAGAATTTACTTTTTAGCTATAAAACATTGTCCGTCCATCAGAAACTTAAGCAGAGATCCATAAATATAAATGACTGAACACACAGGGACCATGCTGGTTATTTAAGCCAAGTATGACGTGAGATTTTTCTGGCAAAGCCAGCTGCATGGGGCAACATGGTCACACACTGGCTCGGAAAAGCTGTCTAGCATACAAATATTTCCGTTTTATTCCAGTTGAATTACTGACATGGCTAGCATTAGTATTTTAGGATACTTGTTTATGAAGGCTATAGTGTTGAATAGTATCTGTCTGTCGATAAGGAGTTATATCATGAAGTGTAGGGGGAAAAATAATAATAGTTACCCTTTTTTTAATCTCTACTACATTACCATCACTTTACTAGATGCTTTATATATCTTATTGTGAGTCCTTCCATACATCCTGCAGGGTAGCTATTTCCCCATTTTGCAGATAAGGACACTAAATCTCAGAGAGGTGAATTCATTTGTCTGATATCATCTAGCTAGTAAAATAGATAGTGGTAATCAAACTCAGGTCTGACTGACTTGAAAGGCCCTTGCTCTTTGCTATTCCATATTGTCCGTGACAATGATTCTGTAAAGGACACTAGGGAATTGTGTTTATGAAGAACTTTTTGACACTAAGTTAATGCCATTCTGGAGCATTTTAATGTTGGCTGCTACTACTACTTATCTGTCTCTACTGTCTTAATAGTCTTCATAAACTCTCTATTGTAGATCAAGGAAAAAAATGAAACCTTGGATTTCAAGATGTTTTTGTTTTTTGTTTTTTAAAGACATTTCTCAAGTATCATGATGCTTGTGTGGTATTTTTTTTACTTAGAGGTTAATTTCTTTCATGTCCAGCTGGGTGTGTAGGTGAGGACAGGTGTTCTGGATGTGAGCATTGTCTAGATCGGTGCTGTCCAATAGAACTTTCTGTGGTAATGGAAGTGTCCTGTATCTGTGCTGTCCAATATTATAGACACTAGTAACATTGGGCTATTGAGTGCTTGAAATGTGGCTAGTGTGACTGAGGAACTGAATTTTTTATTTTATTTAATTTTGGTTAATTTAAATAAAAATAGCCACATGTGGTTGGTGGCTATTATAGTAGACAGCAATGCAGTTTGAGGTCATAACTGATGCTTGTGTTTATGAGTAATGGTAGAATTTGAGAAAAATCCAATAATTGGTAGTTGAAAAGTTGCTGATTTGTTTTTCAGCAACATAAAATTTGGCATGTGTTCAACTGAAAGCCATGGAACCAAATAGAGTAGAACAATTAATATTTCCAAAGCATTTTTGATCATTGATGATCTCATTTGGTGAGTATTTCAGGTATGCTATTGTTTAGGACGTACTTGTTAACAGATCACAGAAGAGAACGAAATCATTTACAACTTCTTTGCTAACAGATCACAGAAGAGAACAACAGATCACAGAAGAGAACGAAATCATTTACAACTTCCTTGTGCAGGGTCTCCTGTTGAAATGGACACCAGTTTGGCCTGTTGGTGCTCAGGTTGTAGTATAAGGGCCTAGACAGGAACCCATGTACTGTTTTCTTCTGCTCGTTGGTTGAGATTAGAGAATTCTCTCTTTCCCCTCACCTAGAATGTCCATTAATTTTATTTTTTATGTGTAAAGTGAGGGAAGTAGAGGCAATTCCTAAATTTATCCAGGGAGCTACAAGAATTTAATAATCAACAAAGTAAAATGTAGTTTTCCTTTCTAATATTCTAAAATAAGTCCATAGGACTTTGATTTTAGTTCTTTGTTTTGGAAAATACAACCCACTCAAATGTTTTATGTGAGATTCATTTTTAAGTTGATTTATATCTTCCAAAGAAACTTTTGATGGAAATAATAGGTGTCCTATGATATTTTTAAGAAAATATTATTTCTCTGGAGTCTTGATACATTTTGGTTTCATTTTGATTGTCTTATGAAATAATTTGTAAGAGATACAAATTTTATTATGTGTCACTTGTGTTAAGCATATTTTTTCTCTGACATTTTATTTGTAAAATGCTCCTCTCCTTTCTATCAGAGTTCACAACTAATCAACCCTGAATGCTTTTGATTTTTCTGACTGTACCAGGACATTGAAGTTCCCTGTCGTGAGAAAAGAGAGCACATGGAACTCGTGAATTTATGTACTCCAACAATAGAGCTTTTATGACATTGGAGGTGGTTAAAAAAGCTAGAAGTAGCTCTCAAACATGGCATTGCTGTATTGCCCCCCCCCCCTTTTTTTTGTATTCTCAGAGCTGCCAGGAGTGCATCGGGCCTGTAATTTCCTGTTCTCCGAATCCCCCATCTTTCTGCAGCTCCAAGCTTTGTGTCCCACAGCCTGTGACTCTGTGCTAACAAATCGCTATTGTCCAGTGGGGCGAATGGTGGCTGGAACTAAAGAATTGCTGTCTGGTTTCTATTCAAATCCAGGTAGTGAGATATATGAATGGACTTTTCGAATCGTCATGTGAATAACGTCTGCTCAACATGAAGGCTCAACCACGCTAGGAAATATTAACTCCTAGGCTAACCACTAACATCCTTTGTGGTAGGAGATAGAAAAATTCTTTAAGTATCATTTTATTCATACTTAATTTCCCATTTCATCACCCAAAAGTAGGGTTAGCCATTCAGTTCTTTGGCTGCTACTTTTCTTCAAGTTTTAGTGTTTCTGTTGATAATATGGAAGTTTAGGAAAATGCTAAGTTATTTCTCACTTAGAACACTATTATTTTCTGTCATAAGTTTTCTGCTTATATTTATGATGGCATAAAGTTATCTTTATAGCATACATGCAAAAATGAGAGAGAGCAAGCTGCTTTTTCCAAGAAACCAATCCTTTAAAATGCCTTCCAACCAATGAGGAGGAAAAATCCTCCTTTTTTTAGTGCATTCTGCTTATTCACATTTTTTTCTCCCAAAGTTCAAATTTATATAAAGAAAATATAAACAACTTCAAATGCAATATATTAACCAAACAAAACAAGACCCCTTCAAATTAGGAACCAACTTAAGCATCTGTAAGTATTGCAGAATCAGGATTTTAAAAATCAGATTTGGAAGCTAGGCTATAATTCATAATTTTCATTAATAGTTGGAAAATTATTTTATCTTTCTCCTGTATACATAAAAAATGTCCACAGGCTTGAAGAACCATGCTTTTTACATTCCTTCCATATCACAGGTACTATGGGATGGAGAGCCTTTTATGTTTCTTTTTGTCTCAAACTCAGACAGCTTTGTAAGCAGTAGTGTGTAGATTACAAGAGTTAGACAAAAGCAGGCGCGACTGAGAAGAGTTGGGTTGGGGGGAGCTTGGGGCACTTCCTGTCACTCAACACATTCCAGATCACTAAAAAATTTCCACACCCTCAGCATTCCCTCTTGCCCACCCCAGATCCCAGTATTTTCTGATACCATATGTTGTGGTAGTTATCACACTCCTTTCTATCACCGGGCTCTGGCAAGACTGCTTCACAGGAGATGCATTCCTTTAGATTGCACAAAGCATAGCTGGGAAAATGGCTGGCAGTTTCAGAATCTAGTCACGATCGCACGCATGAGCACCTCACACATCCATGCCCCATTCCCCCCCTCCTCCCGCCCCTGCAGCTGGCTGACCTGTCTCACCCACTGCTGGCCTATCGAACGGCCAGGACTGTCTGGTTTTGGCTCATGCCTTTGTCCATGTCTGGCTTAGTTCCTCTCTGTCTATGCTTGCCTCTACCCCCAACGCCCCAGGCGGCACAAGTGTTTGGCCACACAAAACTACAGATAGAAAAGGTGGTAAAAACTTCAAACTTTGCTAGATTCTCCAACAGTTTATTCTTTTGTGAATTTCTCCCTTCATTAAATTCTCTGTTTTAAGAAAAAACAAATACAAAATTAATTATCTAAAGGCAAAGAATGCAAAGCAACCTTTGTGTTCCTTATAATAACTGACTTCATAACTCTCTCCAGCTGCGGTATGGGGTGTGTATAAAAAGCTTCTGTTCTGAGAACAAAGGAGCACGTGCAGAAATGAGACTAAAAAATCCACTGACAGTATTTCACTACACAAATTACTTAAAAGATTTTAGTTAAGCCTCTCAACAGATTCAATTTTAAAATGGTTTTTAGTAAAAAGAAAAAAAAAAAAGAAAGTGCTTACCCAGTAAAAGAACCGAAGTAGTCCTGAACTGTTACGTAAGACTTTTTACAGTTGGATCTTTGTCAAAAGGGGATGGGGGTGATGGGAGAAAAGCAGCAACAACAATCAAAAAAGTTCGAGCTGCTGTCGCTAGAGGACAACTTCTGTGTTTCCAGATAGGATTCTCGCTGTAGAAATGGAACTTCCAGCCAGCACAGCATCCTGTCCCAGTAGAGAAATGAGTTTGTCAGTAAAAAAAAATTAGATACTGGAACCCAGGCTAGACGAGGTATTGAACCGCGCCAGATTTCCTTACAGCCCTGTCTGCTCAGCTCGCATTGAACTATATATGACCCAGATGATGGACAGAAGCACATTCAGTCATGTGCACACTGGAAGAAAGCGGATTTGCTGGTCCCTGGCAGTGCAGGGGTTTGTCTTCTGATTGGGCTGTGCCCTGATCAGTGAAATGTGAAGCCCTCACCATTCAGAGGCCGTAATTCAGGACTGGCAGTTTGAGTGTCTGGCTGCCTCTAGTGACTGAGAGAGACTTTGAAGGTGTTGCTTTTGTTTGGTAGCATTACCCACCCAGAGGTTGCTTACACCTATGTGCGTGTAAGGAGCAATGCTAGTCTTTCTGAAATGCAAGAAGACAGCCGACTTTGCCCGAAGCTGGCATTTTATTGTTGATGAACTTGACTCTAACTTAAACCAATTACTTGATTTGAGAATTTTTGTGATCCTAGCTAAGGCCCATGTCACACCCTTGCCTTGATTTTAATGAAATTGATAAGTTAAAAATAAAGATGGCATTTGACTTTGAAGCTTTCTGGATGATGTAAAATTGCACTTAATGAAAATTGGAGAAATGGGCAGCAGAGAAGTTAAGTTTTGGATTCTGGAGTCTTTGAACATACTAGGGTGAAGCTGTCACTCTTATCCCAGTCCTCAGTTGGGATAAGAGTGAGGACTCCTGGGGGGAAGCTACCAAAGCATAGACCACATCACGCTGTGACATAGCCTTTAATCATGCCTGACAGCCACAGTCTACTCTCTTCAGTCTGTCTGAACTAGAGGTCCTTGGGATTTATTTCCCATCTTTCTGGGCCACTGGGACTGTCAGTTGTGACATTTTTGCTTAGTCTATGAAAGTTGCATTGTTTAATGCAAATTGACACTGTTTAGATGCTAAGGAGAGAGTGAAGACCAAAACAGAAGAGATTCTTATGAAGCTTGTATTCTAGTGAGGAGACAAAAATAAGTTAACAAAGTAGTGTGAAGTAAAAGAGGAAACCATGGTGAAGAAAATAAAATAGTGTAATGTGATTATGGAGAGTGCCTTAGGGGTGGGTGGGATGGGGGGTTTTTTTTTTTCATGTTCATCTAATTTATTTATTTTTAATTTTTTTCAATTACAGTCTACATTCAGTATTATTTTGTATCAGTTTCAGGTATACAGCATGGTGGTTAGACAATCATGTGCTTTACAAAGTGTTTCTCTGATATTGCCAGTACCCACCTGGCACCATATATAGTTTTATAATATTATTGACTATATTCTCTATGCTGTATTTTACATCCCCATGACTGTTTTGTAACTACCAATCTGTACTTCTCAATCCTTTCACTTCTTTCACCCAGTCTGATGGGGGACTTCTTTAATGAGGAAATAGGGAATGCTGCTCTGAGGAACTAAAATATACAGTGGAGAGCCAAATGATGAGAAGAATCCCGGCATACAGAGAGCTGGAAGAAGTGTGGTCTGAGCAGTGAGAAGAACTCTGAGAGCTCCAAGATAGGATTGACCTTGGTGTGTCTGAGGACCGGAAGGGTATTATGGCCTAAAGTAAAGTGAAGGCAGATAGGGGGTGAGGTTGGAGAGGTGGGAATGGGGCCTTATCGTGTAGGAACTTGTAAGCTGTGGTGAGAAATTTGCATTTTCCCCCATATGTATTTTTCCCCAAATTGGAAGGTTTTAAGCAGAAGAGTAACTTGTTCTGCAGGCCAAAGAAGTCCTTCTTGTCTATGTTTGGTTCCTGAGGCTTCCTGACACTGGAGTGCTTCCTAAGGTGGGGACTTTGTCAAGGCTTTCACATGGTAGTAGCCAGTTCTTGGTGTCCTAGCAGAGTGATATTTCTTTTAGAACAGTTCTGGGGGTAATATTGGTTTCACTGCGTTTTCCATCAGAGAAGGCTTATCCAAAAAAGAATGGCTTCTGGGTGATTCCACACATTGCTGTTGTCTGGATAGACTCTTATAGGCTGGTTCTTTATATTAATTTGAGATAAAAATTCAGTTCTTAATTAGACTTGATCTCTCTGTGTCAATAATTGAGCAGGGCATGTCCTTGGCAGATGATGATGGCTGTTTCATTTATATGATGTACTTAAAATCGTACTGATGGGAATCTGAATTTGACAAGTAAAGAGGAACTGTCCCAGTATTCTTAAATAAGGTGGTATTCAGATATTCTGAGGAAATCTACATTAGGAGGGTTAATTGATAACATTTGGCCCATGTTTTATTTTTTCAAATTCTCAAATATTCCGAAAAATACAAAATAACCCTGCATACACCCAACAGTCTCATTTTATAGATCAGTGGCTTTCAAGTTCTTTGACCATTATCAACTAATATAATAAGATATATTTTAACTTATACACATATTTGTGTATATATATCTATATATCAATATCTATATGTATGAAATCACTTTCGTAAAATAGTACTTGTCCTTATTACAGGTAGTGTCATCTAATATTTTCTCTTTTTTTCTTACTTAAAAAAAATATTATTTGCGAGCCACTAAATATAATTTACAACCCACTCACAGGACCACCTGAACTTTGAAAAGCACTATAAGTGAGAAAATTGAGACTTCGAGAGGGTATGTATGACCTGTCCAGTGTTCATAGCAAGGAAGTGGCAGAGCCAGGACTTGAAGCAAAGCATGATTCCAAAGCCGTTATTTTTTTCTACCACATTATATAGCTTCCAAGTGACATTAATCTCTAAAGAAACTGAATAAACAAAAAAGCCCCACCACAAATGACCTTTAATAGTAATTATATAAAATGTACATTTTCCAAGCAGAGGCTATATAGGAAGGGGCAGAAATAGTCTTTCTCTGATCATTGCCTCTACATTTTACAAAGAGCTCTTGGCCGATTGGAGTTGTCTATCCATATCTTGGACAGAATACAGTTGATAGTATTCATTAGTTATGCTGGGAACTCACAGATTCCCAAGGCACTTGTATCTCATTACTCAGTCTAGCCCTGAGCTAATCCTGGCTTCTTAAAATAATAGCTGTGTAAGACCTAGCTTCTGTGTGTGAGAGTGTGGCTTCTCAAAAATGAGCTGTTGAAATGAAATGTGACGGGAGTCAGCACTGAGATACGGGAAGGGATGTCTAGGGTCTGAGTCCAGCCCTGCCAGGGAGTTGCCATATATCCCCTCTCATACATAGTGCACATCACCTTCCCTCCCTCTCCCCAACATCATGCACCAGAATGGTACATTTTTACAATCGATGAACATATACTGACACCCAAAATTCATAGTTTACAGTAGGGTTCATTCTTGGTGTTGTATATTCTTTGGATTTGGGCAAATGTCTCATGGTATCACATGGGTTTTTATGATGGAGATTTTGTTTGACTTCCTGAATATTGGAATTTAGAGAACATTATTTCGTGCAGACCACAGAGCAGAATATTCTTCGAAAATCCAAAGAACAGTCACTATATGTAGGTACCTCAGATCAGTTCTGTGCTTTTCTGGCTTTGGTTAGTGCGCGAGAGCAGATGAGAAGCAGGGATGCAGTCTTGTTTGCTCAGGTGGCTTGGCTTCGGACAAGGACCATCAGAAAAATTGATCTTAGATTTCTTAGGATCCCTGTGTTTTAGAGACTAAGAAAGAGAGAAGGACCTACTTCGTCTGATGCCAGTGATTTCAAGGGCTTCATGAACATATTTATATACCACTCAGTTTGCTTAGGCTCAAGTGAGAGCATTCTAATTTACATTATAATCTGTAGTATGTTGGAAAGAGCCCTAGGTTGTTTGAAATCAGGCATGTAGGAGTTCCTATATCAATAATCCTGTTTGGGTGAGATTTTGTATAGTCTTTGAAGTCTAACAGACTTGATTTGAGAAAGTTACCTAACCTCTCTTGAGTGTTTTTTTCTTGTGTGTACAGTGAGGAGAAAAGTATCCATATGGACATAGTTTTGAACATTAAGTGGAGTGAAGTATGTAAAACACCTTGCTCAGTACACTGTAGGTATTTAATAAAATAAACAAACTGTAATAATACTAAATGTATGTTATTCCCACCTTCAGGAAGAAGTCCATTGTTTAGCCTGGTATACGTCCTTTCCCTTGGCCTTCCGCAATATCCCTCAGTCTCCTCTCCTGCCACTCACCGTCATGTGCCTTACTCTAGCTACACACAATTACTCATACTTTCAGAACAACCTGTGCTTTTATGGTGCCATATATTTGTATAAGCTACTGCTTTTGCCTAGAATGCACTTTTTATTTCCTCCCCCTTCTTTGCCTTTTGGGAATCTACTTCTTCAAACAGCTCTAATGCCACTTCTGATTGTGAAGTTTCCATTAGATCCTCTCCACCCCTCATAGATTTATCATTCCTGCCTGTGATTTCCCATCAGTACCTTGCTTGTGCTTTTCTCGTGGCCCTGTAAATATTTTCCTGGTCTGTCTCCCCCATAATTTCTAGAGGACAGTGACCCTTTGTTAGTGTTTTTCTAGAGTTGTGAGGCAGCATGGTGTGTTACTGTATCTCTCTTGGGACTGCCCTTCCAGTTTGAGTTCTAGATGTGAAAAATATGATGGCAGATCTCTTTGTTTTAAACCTCTGTGAAGTATAGGCAGTCCACATGGAGGTTAATCTCATTGCTCAGATTTGGACATCACCATGTGTGCAGTTCCTTTAATCCTTCTCTCGCTATGAAAATGGACTTAGCAGCTGGCATCCTCTTTTTTTCCTGTCTGGGGCAATTGGAGCTCTGTAGAATTTGGCTTGGAGGAGCAGGAACTTTGCCTCCTCAATTTAGGATGATCCTGGAGTATAGGACGGGATGTCGTTGAGGGCCTAGTACGGCTGTAGTGTGGCCAGTGACATGATACCAGGGGCCCTGCTTATTAGACCAGGGATTACAGTCATCCTCTGATTTAATTTCTGTGACACATTAAGTCTATGTTTTAGCCTACAGAACACTATAGAATTAGTGTCCTAATTCTTTCACCCTACTCCTTCCCTACCTTGTGATCTTCAAAATCACTACCTTTTAAGGCACAGCTATTCTTGGCTGACAGTCTTGC